ATAGGCTGACTAGATTCACCAGATGGACAAGTAGTGGGGAATAGCTGGGGGGGCCGACAACACAGCAGACAGTAGCAGGGATATCAGAGTATAAGGGCTCTAAGTCGGGGGAGGGAGGCTATGGGAGGGTACCATCTGAAAAGTGGGTATACAGTTGAATAAGATAGCTTGGGATGTTCTTTGTGATACATACATACATACACACACACACACACAATCAACACATTTTTAAAAATGTATTATTTGAGGAGGAGCATGGAAATTTACGTCATGTTAATTAGTAGAGGTGATACACATTACCACTGAAATCTACCCGATGACTTTATAGACATACACAGGTGCCAAGGATCCAAGTGCAACCGATTATGACTAGTAATAATCAGATACATACAGATTAGAGATGCATGCATCAACAATGAGTCTTTCTGCAAGGAACAATAATTCTAAAATGAAATGGACATCTTTTTTGAAGGTTAAAAACTCATTCAATTTTATGTTTTACAGGGCTTATACTAAGTTCAATATTGTATAACTGTATTAATTCAGCTATAAACCTAGAAACTTACAGCCACTTGTGAAAGAGAGGTACCCTTGCTCTGGAGTGTATTACTGAATATGTTAAAGTTGTAATGAAATGCTTCCTCTAATCATGTAGTTATTAAAAATTAAAAAAATAAAAATTAAAAAATTAAAAAAAAGAAAACCACAGAACTTCATAGAAATCATAAGTCCTCAGCAATTCTGGATAGCTGATACTTGGATTTACCTGCTAACATTTTCTTTTGTCTTTTTGAGACAGGGTCTCCCTGTAGCCCCCAGCTATCCTGAACTTGCTATGTAGTCCAAGCTGGCCTTGAACTCACAGAGATCTACCTGCCTCTGCCTCCCGAGTGCTGGGATTATTCAAGGCCTGTACTACCATGCCTGGCTGAGATTAGTATTTTAAATGGAGAAGCTTAACAAATCACACACAACAGATGCCTTTGGCACAGGGGCTGATTTCTGTCAGACTCTGGTGGGAAGGCCTGTCAGTTTTACATAATTATACTTATCAGTAATACATTTTTTTTTTTGGTCTTTTTGAAACAGGATCTCTCTGTAGCCCCAGCTGTCCTGGAACTCACTATGTAGACCAGGCTGGCCTTGAACTCACAGAGATCCGCCTGCCTCTGCCTTCCGAGTGCCAGGATTAAAGGCATGCGCTACCACACCTGGCAATATTTTGTCTACATTCTGAATTCCAGTTGTTTATGGACCCCAAAATATCCTTTTACTTTCTGCCCCCTCCAATATAGAATCCAGTCTTGAATCAGATATCTGGTTGTCCTAGTTCTGTCTCCTTTAATTTGGGATGCTTCTACAATTTTTGTCTATGACAATGCAGACAGTTCTAAAGCATACAATCTTATCTTTTGTATTGGGGTACAGGATCTTACTATGTAGTAGCTCAGGCTGGCTTCAAACTATCAATCCTACCTCAGCTTCTTGAGTCTTTTAAATTTTTTTTTAAATGACTTAAGCCAGGCATGGTGGTACTTGCCTTTAATGATAGCACTTGGGAGGCAGAGGCAGGAATTTTTTTTGGTTTGAAGGCACCCTAGTCCACATAGCAAGCTCCAGGTCAGCTAGAGCTACACAGTGAGACCCTGTCTTTAAAAAAAAAAAAAGGGGGGGGGGGATCTGAAGAGATGGCTCAGTGGTTAAGAGCACTGCCAGCTCTTGCAGAGGTCCTGGGTTCAATTCCCAGCACCCACATGGCGGCTAACAACTGTCTATAACCCCAGTTCCAGGGGAATCTAATGCAGTCTTCTGACCTCCAAAAGCACTGCACAATACCGGTGAACTTACATACATGCAGGCTGAGCAATCTCTCCGACCCCATAAATATTTTTTTTAAGTTATTTTATGTGTGCCTGGGTGTGTATGTATAAGTACCATGTGAGTGAAGGTGCCTACAAAGGCCAGAAGAAGACATCAGATCTCCTGGAGCTAGAGTCATAGGTGGTTATGAGTTGCCCAGTGTGGGTACTGGGAACTGAACTCGGGTCATCTGGAAGAGCAGCAAGTGCTTTTTAACAGCTGAGCATCTCTCCAACCTCTGAATCTTTCTTTTAGATCATCATTTGTTCTTTCTGTAATGTTTCCTCATGGCTGAGGCTAAGCATTTCTGGAACAGAACACTCAGCTAAGGTGTGTCCTTCTCAGGGTCACCTCTGGGTGCCATATATCC